AGGAGAAAGAATAACGGGCAGCATCCCAATTTATCATCCTGCTTAGAACGGTTATAATTTGGAGGAGAAAGAAAAGTCTCAGAGACCTCAGATTTAGAGGTGTGCCCAGCTTAGGTTAGAGGGTTGGCATTTTCAGTGTCAGAATAAGGAAAGTATTAGAGAATTTTGTCCCCTTTTAGCAATAAGCAGGCACTCTGGAAAACGAAAACATGGAGGTTTTTTTAGAAACACGGAGGTCATGGGATCCTAATGATGTCTGAAGGACTGGTCTCATTTCTCATGTCAGAATTAATGCTGGCAGAGGTTGGACGGTTCTTCATTTACATTTTATAGGGTGCTGGAATAAAGGGGAGCTGCTAGTCTTATTTCTAGCCACAGCATCACCGTCGCTGTGGACAGTACAGCCTCAAAGCTGTCCTCTCCTTCATCTGTGTAGCTTTGCTCTAGCGAATGTTGAGTCATTTGGCAGAACTCAAAAACGCAGGTTTTTTTCTTGCTAGAAATACGTAGCACTTGCTGCCATCCTCATAGCCTTCTATTGTCCTGTCCGTTCGAGTTTTTGTCTTCTTATCATCAAATACACATCCTACCAATCTGGTTGAAAAGTTCGATTGTTAAAAATCATCCGGGTGTCTTATCCGGGTCGCAATCAGTTTGCCTGACTGTTTGCACTGACCAGCCGCCACCTGTCCCACAGCCCGCGTGCTGTAAGGAAACTTAATCTTTAGGAGACATATCTGACCATGAAGGGAGTCGTAGGAAAAAAACAAAGCAGCTTACTCGCGAGCACGATGTGGGAGTCTCTTGCCTTCTCTGTGGTAGCCATTTGAAGACTGCTGCAGAAGGGAGTTGAGGATGGGCAGGCAGGCTGCTTTACAGGCAGGCGGGCAGGGAGCGAGAGTCCAGCAGCACTGTGAAAATCAAGGTCTGTGGAGTGCCTGCAGCCATCTTAGAATTTAGAGGAAGCAAAAGCCGTTAGCCCTCGTTTTGTCTTAGGTAACAGCCAGCAGAAAAAAAAAAGCTAGCCAGGTGGGAGAGAAGGATGACAGTATTTCCCTTTGCCCTTATTTTAATCCATTTTAGAAACGGAATACATGTTGAAGTCCCCAACACCACCACTTCACTTTCTACCCTCTGTCCCCCTCAGCCAATCCTAGAGGGCAGTACATTTACAGAGGGGTATTTAATGCATTCAAGAACAGAGAAGGCAGATGAAATATGAAGGTAGCGTTGTAAATTATAGCATTAAGCCTGCTGAGGGATCATATTCATCTACATTGTTGTTTTTACTTTTGATCCATCTCACTGCAGAAATTTAATTATAAAGATTACTTACAAAAGTCACTTTTTCAAGGTGACAGTTACTTGAAATGAGTATGTTCAGGTCAGGTAGGTTTTTAGACTTTGGCGTGCTCTTAAGCTGAGTTTTTAATAAACCTCACTGTATGGATCAACCATCTTGGCCACATCTTCTCGTGTCTGGCTCAGGTGGCTCGCTGACACCTCAGTGTCACCCCTCACCAGCAGTGGTCATCGTACCAGGACTCTACCTACCCCTTCCTATTGCTAAGATCATTGGGTGACTATTGATTCCTCACCCTAAGGTACTGGCCTCCTTTAGAGGCGAAGGGATCCTTTCCCAGCCTTTATTTCTTAGTGTTAGGTCTCTGCAGCCTAGTGGTGGGATAGGTCTAATTCGTCTGTCGCAGTTTGCCACCGGATGTCTAGCTTTGTATCAGTTTTGGTGACACGTTTCCCAGAACCCTGGGCTTGCTTCAGTTGCTGAGCATCAGGGAAGCCCTGCTCTATTCTCCCGCAAGGCTGACACTATTGTTGAAATGTTGAAGACTGGGAACACATGGTCTGCTGTGCCTTTTGCTAGAGGCTCTTTCTTGGCTGGCTGTCATGTTGGCATCAGTTAATTGAGGGGAAAATCTGAGTTAGGTCCTGCGATTTCAGGCAAGCGGGGCATGTGTTGGGTACACCTGTCACTTAAGCAGTGTCCACATTCAGCCCCAAAGGTCACAGATGTAGCATTCTTTCAGCATTAGCTAGCAACTTACTGTTCCCTAGGAAAAATAAACCATTCCATATTAGTGTTGTTCACTTATTAACCCTCAGGGGATTCCTTGTGATGTGTTTGGCTAGTAGGGACAATATTTCCTTTTTGATTCCATCTCCTGTAAGCCTTTTTGTTTTGTTTTGTTAAGAGTCTAACCCTGTAGCTTAGGCTGGCCTTCCACTCATAGCCATTCTGATGTCTCCTGTGCCAGCTTCCAGAGTGCTGGGATTGCAGGTGCGAGCTACTTCGCCTCTGGAAAGGCCATTTCTTACGCAGGGGAGAGTAGGGGCTACAGTGTAGCAGCCCCTCACCCCCTTGTAGCTGCAGCTGTGGGCTTCTAGGAGGAGCAGCTCACATTTCCCTTCTCTTTTCGCCTGTTCCTTCACCTGCACAGCAGACACTTCTTTCCACGGCTGGGGGCTTCCATTGCCCTCTCTCCATGGAACTTAAACCAGCCCGTCACCCTCAGAAAACGTTAATCTACTTTATCATTTTATGTAAGTGTTCTCCGAAAGCAAAACACATGCTCTGATGATGTCCCCCTAGTAGCTGGATATTTCAGCCTGGGTTTTAGTAAGTGCATTGGCCGTCTACAATTAATACAAGTAGCAGAAGTCTGTCTGAAGGCCCATTCTCTGCCTTTTGAAAGAAATGGGCTATATTTAGTTTTTTAAACCAGTCTGCTTTGCATTCTTTGTAAAGTCAGCAACATTCTTCCAATTTGGGGGTGTAATTAGCATAAAAGGAGTAATCTGAGAAGGTAGTAGGGACTAAAGCAAGGGACAGACAGGAATGTTGGAGACAGTGAGCCCAGGGAACTTCCCCAGTACTGAGTGGCACGCAGAGACCCCTGGATGTGTCTGTGGGTACTGAGGTCTATAGCTCATAAAACACCCTCTCATCCCCCATTACTTTAGTCCTCACTCAACTTCTTCCAAAGGAAGCGAGGGATGCGTTGTGTGTGGGAGGTTAACTTTCCAGCTCTTGGCTGGGAGAAGTTGGAGAAGTCTTTGGTATTCTTTCATGCAGTGTCCCGTTGATGCTGAGTAAATGGGGCTTGACCCGTTCTTCCTTCTGGACTTCACTGTTCTGTGATTCACAATTACCCTGCTAAGATCTTTCTTAGAAATTGTTTCCCCTTCTCTCTTGCTGTCTAAATTGTTTATGGAAAGACTCAATGATTTGTTGAGACTTAAGTTTCAAGGGGAAAAGAGCTCTCCCATAATCTCTTTCTGGTCCCTTTTACAAGCCATTGGGAAGTAGTGAGAAGACACTGATGGTCTTGGGAATTCATGGGAGACCATGAAGTTCCTCTTACAAGTGGCACTTGCCTTTTTGGGTCACGGATTGTCAATGACAGCTACAAAAAGTCTCATTTGCCCTCTTATGACTTAGACCTTCTGAGTTGACATGTCAATATGTGTTTACTACAGAGTGTGAGTTTGGAGTTACTTTGCAGTTGAAATACTAACCAGTGGATGTGACAAGAAAAAAATTGCCATGGGTGGTCCTGACACTTGATGTTTAAAAACCTCCTGGTCCTAAGTGTCAAAGCCTCCTAGTAGAGACTAGCCAGGACTAGAAAACACTTCTTACAGTACCTGCTTTCATCTCCAATATGGCCAAGGCTTCAAGTAACGTTTATCTACGACAACAGTTCCAGTCATCTGGCTAATAAAGTGCAGAATGTGCTTTGAAGACAGAATGCATCCCTAAGTACTATTATTAAAGCCTTACAGCTAAAGTATCTGTTTCAGTGGAAGCCTATTTATTGTTTCCTGGGCTATTAAAATAATATTATAATTGCATTTTCTCTAGACTCTCGGAAAATAGCTCACAATGACCCCAACTAATGAAAGGCCCAGGAGAACACTCTTGTCCAAAAACTCAGTTGCATCATTGAGTAATAATAACATCTAGAAGGTTCTAAGCTATGGCAGTGTGGTCACTTCTAAAAGCAGATGCGGCACTCTTGCCCGGAAAGAAGATCCGGCAGGGCCCAGGAACACACACACTCCCATCTAGAAAGACAGAGCTTGCAAGGCCACAGAATTAAACCCCAGGTTCATCCATTATGGAGGGGAGAAAAAAGGAGAGTTGTCAAACCATCTGTGAGGTATGTGGTCAAGCTGTTAGGGGACCCGGTGTTTCAGGTCAGGGTGTGTTTTTATCTCACCTTGCTGGCTTTGGCAAGAAGCAAATCACCCGAGCCAGGGAGGAGCCTATATCTTCTCTGCCAGTGTATTGTACAGTCTCACCTGGGAGCTTTAAGTTTCTATAATGTCCATGTGTCCCTGAATCTGATAACGTGTAAGAGTCTAAATTGCAGGGCGATCTATTAAAGTCAGTTGCTAACTCGCAAGTTCTGCATCATGAGGTCCCATCCACTCTGGAAGACTCAAAAAGCAAAACCCACACATAGCTGTGAGGGCTTGGGGAGGTCGGTGCTAGGCCAAAGCCGTAGATGGTGTCAGCTCACTACGCCAATTAAATAAAGTCTCTCCTTTCACTTTGTGTCAAGTGAAAACAGAAAACTGAACAGACCACAAACCGGCTTGTGTTTCAGAGCTCCCGGTGTCCATTGCTTACCCGTAAAGCCTTGATTCCACCTGCTGCCATTTATTTACACAGTAAATGCTTTATTTATGGATCCCTGGCTAGGCATAATAAAATATAGGCAAAACCGAACAGTTAAAAAATTTTTTTTCTTATTCAAGAATGGCTAAGTTAGGAGTTGAAGGGAGGAAGCCCTGACCTTGTATTACACGTTTCTAGACAATGGTCCCATTTGTGCCTTGCCTACAACATGTGTCTCTTTTTAAAGATTGGGTGTGGTATTTATCTAATAGGACAAGGCCCAGAAACTTCATTCTCCTGGCAGCATGGTGTAGTTACTGTGTAAGCATGGAGGTTGTGTTGGCTACTGTTTACCTCTTACCTTTTAAACACCCTGTGTCTGTGCCTCTGCACACTGGAAGCAGGGAGGAAGAGCCTTTTGCACAACTGGAGCGGAACAGAAATTTCCGGCCAGGTCTTCTCTCTTCTAAGTCTTTAGTTTCACAAACGACAGATGAATCAGATTCAATCAAGAAGTTTTTGTTGAAGAGGTAAAAGGTAGTCCCTGTCTTCCTGCCACCACTTACAGGACTGGCTGATGCCTGTGAACTCAGAGTTTCCCCGGAGCACAAGAGCGGCAGTTAAATCTTTTTCATCCACTCTGGTTAGGTTAAAAAAAAAAAAAAAGGCGTCAACCTGGCACAGAAGTTCCTTTGAGTTTCTTGTAATATTTTTTGAAGTGTACATTTGTGTGGATGAGGCTGTGCATAAGAAATAACTTTTGAGGAGATGAAGTCGGAGACTCGGCAGCAAGTGAGGGCTTCCTCTTCGTAGTTCCAAGAGATCCTTGGTTGCTTTGAGTCGCTTTCTGTTGTTCTTTCAAATCCGTTAAAAAAAAAAACAAAACGGAGCGTAGAATGGAGGTAGAGGTGTACCGGCAGGGACCAAGAAAAACAGCGTGTTGCACCTTTCTGTCACATCCTTTCTGAGTTTGAGTTGGGCAAACCTTCAGGAAGGAGGACCCGAAAATTCTGTTGAGGTGTTCCCCTATTTTCAAAGGTAGAGCTGTCCACAAATAATTTATTCGAGGCCACTGAAGTATCAAACACTGGGCCCTTACCCTTTGAGGACCCTGGGGTGTGTTGCATTCTTGGTAGAGTTTCTGTTTTCTTCTCCCCAGCGTCCCAAGTTTTGCGAGCTATGTTCAAAAGTGAAAGGAAAGCAACGTTGGAAGAGAGTTTGTGATCACCCGAGAGTTCTGGGTTTATTGGCACGTTGTCCCATCAGGGAAGGTGCCATGTCTTAGCCTGACCGTTGGCTCTGTCCGCTCACCTGGGCACAAGGTGGTTGTGGGCCAGTTATTGAATGAATGAATTAATTACATCCAAGTAGATGCCAGTGGCAGACCCCCAGCACCCGAGGAAGGTGACTCAAAACTTAATGTCCCTGCCCATTCACTAGCCGGTGCTGCCTACCATGTTCATAGCGTGGGGTCAGGGAGTGGGGACGGGACACTTGTGAGTTTTGAAACAATTCTCCGAAAAGTTCGTGTTCAGTAAAGCATCTTTTTGTTCCCTTTATTCTAGAGCCCCGCGATGGCTACCGCCTCTCCCACCTAGGAGGACTCCGCGTGCTCCATCTGCATCCAACACCGCCATGGCTCTCCTCCTCGGCTGTGGCCTCGTCTGATTAGCGCCGACTGCTTCTTCTATTCGCGCTAGCTGTGTAAAATGCATGTGAGGAGATCCGAACCCCCGTGCGGGGGCAATCGCGACTAATTAGCTCGCCGCCATCTACCTCCGCGGGCACGCGCCACACAGGGTGGGAGGGGTGGGCCGCCGTCGCCGCGTGCGTGCGCTATCTGGGAAGCTGAGGTAAGCAGGCGCATAGCATGGGTAAGCGTCTTCGTCTTCGTCGCATAGTTTTCACGCTGCCCAGGGCTACACCACTGTACTGAAAATTGGGAGGCATATCTGGGGGGCGGGGTCGGGTGCCCACCGTCTTGGGGGCGCCCGTGCCCCCCACCAGACTGCTCTCCACGCCCCCTACCCACACTAGTGGTACCGCCGCATTGCCCCTTGACCCCCCGCCTGCGGCGCAGTCCATTTGGGCACGTCCCCGGTGGGCCGATTTTTCGCACTTCCCCTTCGCTTTATAGGGGCGATTGCTTATGGGTTCGTCCTCTGAAGAGGCTGGGGCGTCATCAGGCTGGTTAGAAAAACCCGCTCCACGGCGGGGACACTCAGTCGCGTCGGCACCGCGGAGCGGGCTGCGTCAGGTGGCTTGCCCCGGCGGCGCTCGCTGGCTCCCTGCTCTCGGGCTTGGAGCTGCGGCACCGGCTGGAGCGAACCCTTGTCCCAGCACCGGGCAGCGGCGGGCAGACAGGCAGGCACTGCCTTGCGTGTGAGTGCATCTCACTCACATGTAAGTCTGGGAGCGCGGGGGCTTCCCGCCCAAGTGCGAGGTGCCTGGCACGGGCAAGAGCCGCGGGCAAGAGCCGGGACAGGGCAGGGGCGTCTGGCGCCGCTGCCCTGCCTCGCGCCTCCCGGGCATCTTCCAATTCTCTCTCTTCTCTCTCTTCTCTTCTCCATTGGCGTCCCCAAGACCTAACCCAAGGAGCGCCTACGGGTAACAGCAAACTCTTGTCATTTGCACCTTTCCACTTTGCTTTTTCTCGTGTTGTTGTTTTTATTTTCTTTATTTATTTCCCTTTTTGTGTTGTTGGGCATTTCTTGGTGCTTTTTGTTTTCTCACTGTTGTTGGGTGCTTTTTTGGTTTGTGCTTGCCCCCTTTTTCCGTCTGCTCATCCTATTTGACGCTAACTCTTAGGCAGCCAGCTCAGCAGCCCCCAACGCACGAAGCCAGGGGAAGCCGGACTCCGGTGGCCCCACCACAGCACAGCGGAGACATCAGCCGAGCCCCCGACACGGGGCGCACAGGAGCCGGGAAGCCCGAGGCCGGGGCCAAACAGACCACCCGAGCTAGGCGCGAGCCAAGCTCCCCAAGGTGGTCCGGTCACCATGCTGAAGATGGCCATGAAGCTCAGAGCCCGAGCGGCCCAGAGCGAGAGGAAGACAGCCGCGGCTGCCGCCGAAGTGGCTGCCGAAGCTGCCGTGGCGGCTGCGGCGCTGGCCGAGCCGCTCGCTTCCCAGAAGAACGGGAAGCCCGAGAAGCCCCCCAAGCCCCCCAAGTCCGTCAAGATCCGCGCGAACGCCGTGCGAGATGTGCCGCCCGAAAAGTTGCTAACCGACAAAGAGCGCAAGAAGCTCGAGAAGAAGTTGCTGGAGCAGAGGAAAAAAGAGGAGAAGAAGAGAGAGAAGGAGAGGAAGAAGTTAGAGAAGATGCTGAAGAAGAAGAAGAAGAATGTGCCAGAACCCCAGGCGGAGGTCCGAAGCCCCGAGGGCGCCGCCGCCGCCGCCACCACCGCAGGCGAAGACGCGGGCGCCGCGCAGGGCGCCGCAAGGCTCGGCGAGGGCGCCGCCGTCGGGGGCGCGAGTAGGGCCTGGGCCCAGTGGGACACTGACTCGGGCGACGAAGATGATGCCTACTACGCGCCTCCTCGTGTTGGAGGCGTCGTGTGGCGGCCGGGGCCTGCCAAGGCCGGCGTACTCAGCGAGCACATGCCCCTCGTGGTGTTCCTGGTGTTCTCCGTGCGAAGCCCCTCGTGGGTGCTCAGCTACCTGCTGCAGAGGCGCACAGAGCAGGGCCGTGGCTGTGGCTTCGTGTTCGGGGCGACCTGCTGCTTCCGAGTGTTCCTGGGCTGCGCCTTCTTCTCCTTCCTGAGTGGCCGCACCAAGCGCAGAGGCCGAGGCCGTGGGCGCTCCCGGGCCAGGGGCACCGGGCGCCGGGGGCGCGACGAGCGGCTCATCTAGTCAGACCCCCCCACCCCCATCATCATCATCATCTACATCGACCACCACCACCACCACCACCACCACCACCACCACCACCACCACCTCCACCTCCACCACCACCACCATCGCTGTGTAGTGTGGATCTTTATTAGTGCTTGTGTGTGGACACGTTTTGCTTTTCGGTTGCTCTGTCCTATGCTTCGTGCTTTTCTCCACAGTCCCTGCTCTCTGGCTCTCTCAGTGTCTCTCTCTCTCCTTTTCGAAATTTTCCTAAGTCCAGGCCCGCGCTCCCTCCCTTTCCGCCCACCCCGGCCCCTTGGCGGCGCCCGCCCGCCCTGCAGCAGGAGGAGGGGGATCCGGGCCGCCCGGCCCGGGGGTGGAGCGCTGGCATCGTGTGAGGGGTCGTCACCACCGCGGGGCCGCCCCCTCTCCCCCCGCCGTGCGGCCAGGCCCCGGCCCCAAGCCGCGGGTGGGGCGAGGAGGCGACCCCACCGTGCATCCCGGCCCGGGCTGAACGTGGGTGCAGGGACCCCAGCCCGGCCTCCGGGCACCGCCTCCCTGCGCCCGCGCCCGCCCTCCTAGCCGCGGCCCTCCTCCTCCTCCTCCTCTTTCCACCCCCCTCGCAGCCGTCGCCTCCGCCTCCCCCCGCTCCCCCCCGCCCGCCGTGGCGCTTTTGGGTCGGGGCGTCGGGCCCGGGCCGAGGCAATAAGAGCGGCGGCGGCGGCGGCGGCGGCAGCAGCTCCCGCGGCTCCTGCTCTGCTCCGCCTCGGCCCCGGAGCGAGGGGCGGAGAGCCGCGCGCTTGCCTTAGTCCGAGCCGCCACCCTCCCCGTTCCCCGCTTTCCCGGCCCGCCCGAGGCCGCCCGCCCCGTCCCCGCCGCCCCGCAGCCCGGCCGCGCCCCGTCGCCGCCATGGGCTGCCTCGGCAACAGTAAGACCGAGGACCAGCGCAACGAGGAGAAGGCGCAGCGCGAGGCCAACAAAAAGATCGAGAAGCAGCTGCAGAAGGACAAGCAGGTCTACCGGGCCACGCACCGCCTGCTGCTGCTGGGTAAGGGCGCGGCGGGGGGCACCGGCCCGGCCTGGGAGCCCCGCAGGGCACCCGCAAGGCCGCGCGCGCCGAGCCCGCCCCTCGCCCTAGCGCTCTGGCGCTCTTTCCCGGGCCCTTTGGCCCGCTGGGCGGTGTGTGTGCGGGGGGCGAGGCCGTCAGGGGGACCCCTGGGCGAAATTCGGCCGGGTGGGGGCTGCAAACAGGGCGTGGGTCCCCCTCGCTCAGTCTCGTCCCCTTAGCTGTCCTCACCCCCCTCTGGCTCCTTGGAGGCGCGAGGCCTACACGGTGCCAGGGGCCGGGGTGCGTGTTGGGAGGGGGAGGGGAGGCTCACGGGGCCCCTCTGACTGCGACAGAGTAGGGCCAGGGACAGGAAACGGGCCGGCGGGCCCAAGGAGGGGGACCCGCCTCGCTGGGGAGTGCTATTTGTTGGGAGGGGGCCCAAAGAGAGGCCAGGGCAACAGGGGGGACTCGGGGGCCTCGGCTGGGGAGGCTCTGGCGAGGGAAGTGGCCGCCTGGAGTGGGGGGGCGAGTGACATCAGCCCCTAGGAAAGGACAGGGCGGTAAAGGTGGTGCAGAGGGGGGGGGAGGGGGCGCGGGCGAGTCGTGGCGCCGAAGTGGGGGGGGCGAGGGCGGAGGGAGCGTGGCGGACTCTGGGCGCGACTCGGGGCGATTCGGGCAGGACCGACTGTGCGCGGAGCAGACGTGTCCTGGGCCAGGCCAGGCCGTGGAAGGAAGAAAAGGAGAATCAAACAAAACAAGACCAAAAAATAAAAATACAAACACAAAACAAAACAAAAAACCCAAAAAACAGTACGCAAAAGTGCCCCATGAAGCCAAATGACACGTCATTTTACAGTGTGACCTTTTCCCCCCTTCCAGACTTGCAGGCTTTTTGAAAAGCAAAGAAGATCCATTAAATGGTAGCAGCTGCCCCCCCCAGCTGTGCCCCCACCCATGTAACAAGCAATTGACACACACATTTTCCTGTTACTCGGGCCTCCTTGAGAGTGAAAACACAAAAGTGAAAAATAAAATAAACACGTATTTTTTTAAGGACTCACAAATATGATAAACTGGAAAAATGACATTTGTCTGTAAATGGCTTCTTGGTTTCGAAATGGCGTTTTTAAAATTTTTGTCCTTTTCAAGGTAGGAGGGGGGATAAGCACTCAGGGAAGACTTTCCTGGGTGGAAGCTGATGACAAGACACTAACTAGTTGTTTGTCAGGTGACACTTGGTTGTTTGGTTTTTCTTCTCCTTTTTTCACTGCGGCTTTTCTTCCTTGACAAGAGAGAAAGAGAGAGAGAGAGGAAAAAGGAGGGAGGGGGATCCCCAAACTCTCCCTTTTTTCTTTAAGGTGCTGGGTGGGGGGCAGCAGAAGCAGACAGGCACACACGCACACACAGAATTGTTGAGAAGACCAGGAAAACATTACACAACATTAATTAGAATGGAAGCTTTCCATTTTTTTTTTTTTTGGTGTTTTGGCTATTTGAATAAATTTGTGAATTTGCTGGGAGCGCGATCACATTTCAACAAAATAGTTTAATTATGAAAAATAAAATGTAGGAGGCTGTGTTCATTTGTGGTGCCGTTCGGTTTGATCTTTCTGGATGGGGTCAAGTCTTTGTTCTACCTGGGCCAGATTTAGTTAAGCAGAAAATTATTAATAAGTGAAAATAACTCTCCTTGGTGTTGATCATTTGCAGTTTTAGCAATTAGAGGATATAAATGTGGAGCCTAAAACTTCTAAAGGCATAATTAGGCTGTAAATATTAATATGCCACACTTTGACTTCAAAGTACACACCTGGAAAAGTCTAGAGTCTTCTGTATGGTGTATTCTTACTAAAGTGACTACTGATGTAACTCCAGGATGATGTTAATGACACATTAAATTCCTAACTCCTTCTTCTTGTGTCTTTACAGTGATTTCAAGTGACCCCACTTATTTGAGGCTATTGTTCCGACCCACCCCGTCTCTTCTCAGTCTCCTAGTCTACATGGCTGCATTGTGCCACAATTAACTGATGACCTTTGGCACAGAAATCTGTTGCCCTGGTCACTGGCAATATTTTGCATTTCTTAAAATGAAATAATTCCCCACAAAGGAAACTGAATTCCCCAGCCCTCTTTTCTTGAGCCCATTTTAACTTTTGCCACGTAAATTAAGCTAATTACAGAACCATGAAAACCCTTTACAGTTATTTCCAGCCCAATTTTCTATTCTCACAAACGTGGAAACTGAGGCACGGATCTAATGCTGTCTATAAAAACAGCTGTCACAACTTTTGACATTTCTAAGATTAGAATACTGAGGGTCCCGACCAGTGCCCTGTGATCCCTTCATGGAAACCCCCCAATAGTGCCTTTTATACTTAATTTATGTGAGTTTTGCTCATTAGGATGGTGTTTGCTTTGAAATCAATGCGCCTGTGGAAACCAATTTTAACTTTTATGGATATTGATTATAGCCTTGAGGTGAGGAAAGGTAAAAAGGGGAGGAATGCTTTGCTATCTGGGTACCAAAAGTATATTTAAAAAGAAAAAGATTTTTAAAACCTTCAGATTTATGTGGAAAGGGGGGGGAGTACATTTGCAAAAAACAAATGCAGACTAGCTAGCCCTGTCTTGGTGGAAATGGGGTGGCGGAGGCAGTGGGGTGTGGCCCAGGGGGTTGGTGAACTGTTACTTTTTAAAAACAAATGAAAGGTGATTTAAAGTGAAGGCTTGTGCTGCCATTTAGTCTTTTTAGTTGGGAAAAGTCTAGAATATTCCAATTTAGGGGTTTCCAGGAATATTTGTGCATATAATTAAACACATACTGTTTTTGTTTTTTAAATTCTTTACTGTTGTTGCATGTTGCCTGATGCTAATAAGGTCTCAAGTGCCATGTTTGATATGAAACTGTTTTTTGCTTTTTTGTTTTTTTTTTCCTTTTTTGCTTTTCCCCCTTGCTGCTGGCAGATAATTGATGGCCTTCCATTTCCCTCTGCAACATGGTAGTTGTATCCAGAAAAAAAAAAGTATCTTTACAAAGATTCTTTTTGTAAGGAAGAGGAGTACAAAAGTTAGCACAATGTAACACCCGTTGGGGGGGGAATCGAAGCACGCTATTCAGCAGCTGCTTTGGTGTTGGGAGGGAGGGTGCTGGTGCTGCAGCGGGTCGTGATGGGGGGGACTGCAGTGTCTTAAGCATCTGCCAGTCCTGGGTATTTTAACCATAAAACATCCAGCAAACAGGAAATTGGGTGGCTGCTGCATTTCTGGGTACCTCTGACCACATTTTTCAATATTAAGTTCAAAATTTTTTGACTTAAATTTTTTTCGCCCCTCCAATGACAATTACGTCATTCCTTCACCACCTCATGATTTTTAAAATCCAAAGAGAAAACAAAACAACAAAACTTAAAACTAAAAAAAAAAGCTATTTAATAAAGCAGGGCCCTTAATTCTTGCTTGTTAGTCTATGGTGAAATACTTCAGGTTAGACACTCGGCTGGATGTGTCTTTGGTCTTTCACGGCGTCGTCATGTCAGGGGAGATTGTAGCTGTGTCACTGTGTGTGTGTTGTGTGCTGCTTCTGCTGCTTCTCAAGGCCATCATTCAAGTTAAGTGTGGCAAGCCTGTCTCTTAACCCAGCCCTCACTTTCCTCCTCAGGTGCTGGAGAGTCTGGCAAAAGCACCATTGTGAAGCAGATGCGGATTCTGCATGTTAATGGGTTTAACGGAGAGTAAGTGTCAAATCCTTGCAGGGCGCTGAGCAGGAGTGGCAGGTACCAGTCCTGTAGGAGAAGCTACAGGGCCTTTTGAAAAGAGTGTGTATACTAACCTCTAGGAAGCACAGCTGCTAATTGCCACTAATTATTTTTTTTTTCTAATTTGCGTAGTAGACAGCCCAGGAAAGAGCTGATGGGTGCACACCCACCCTCTTCTCCACCTTTGGTGCAACAAATAGGAATAACAGTAAAAGCACCCGGTGTCCACCCACAGCAGCCCCTCGCGCTGGAAAGTGGTCCTGTTTGCAGAGGACAGTTGAGCAGCACTTGGCCGCGTGACAGCGTCTCTGAGGCCAGGTCCTCTGCTGCAGCCTCGTCTGCTGCAGTGCGGTTCCAACATGGCCGACAGGGCCTTGGCCACCCCTTGTCCAGCCAGAGCTGGCCAACACAGGAGGTTCCCCCACCCACCACCCTGCGGGTTTCACTGGAGTAAACTGGTGTAGGCTTTTGCACTGTCAGGAAAACACCATTTCGGTTACATTTTTTTCACTTAAAAGTTGGAATCTGTGGCCCCTTTGCTGGCAGGCTTCAAGCTTCTGAGACCCTCGCCCCTGTAGAATTAATGATAGGCAAAACGAGTGTTTCTCTAATTTAAGAGAAGCAATGCTCTTACCTAAAACACGAAAAGGATGGAAAGGCGGGCAGGTTAGCTCCTTCTGGCCAGTCCAGGACGCATTTTGCCTTTGGAATGACCTTCCTGATTTAAGACAATATGGCGACACAATACTTCAGTGAGAATAAAGATTTTTTTTTTCCTTAAAAAGAGAGAGGAGGAAGATACCAGGCAAATGTGGGGTCCTCCCCCCCATGAGCAGTGCAAACCAAGGGAGCAAGCACTCGGTAAATTAGGGAGTTTTGCCTTTTGTGCGTGGCCACCGTTGCTCTCAGTGATAATGTGAGGCTTGCTTGTTCTCACCGATTAACCTCTAGGTGAGGAGCCCTCAAAAGCAGGCACCAGTTTGCAGGTAATAAGTAGCTGGTTAACCACTGCCACCCCTCTTCAGGTGGAAATCTGTCCCTTGGTTGTATTTTAACCACCCCGGGGGAGGGGGGGATCGGTACCTGCTGCCCCCCCCCCAAGGATACGGGAAATGCTGGGAAAACCAAACTGAGCATCACCTTTCAGGATGCCACAGGCCGCTCCTCATGGAAACTTCTAGAATTTGTTAGATTGACTGACTGGGTTAGAAAAAGATGACATCACCCTTGCAAAGGGGGTTGAGTTCATGTGCTCCTTGAATTCTAGCTCCAAATTAAAAAAGATTAGTTAATCTGCAAAAGGGACAGGAGCTAGCTCACTAATTTTAGGATTGACTCTGTTAATAGCACACACCTATAATCTATTAAGGCACTGTCATCTACCAGAAATCAATTCTGGAATTCTTAATTCCCTTCTCAAAAAGCCTAAGGTAGGAGATTGGGCACCTGTCAGTCAATAAAAAGAATACAAAACACCCCACCCCAGATCAGATGTTGAGGGATTCTACAATATGAGGCCAGTTAAGCAAAAAATAACTACGAACCTCAGTATTTCAGCAAAAAAAAAAGTCTTCATGAAAGCTGGACGTGGCTAGCATTTTAAAAGTTGCAGCAGCCACCATTTAAGTCGAGTCAGATGGAAGCGATGTCATCCATAAAGTTTTATTGCTTTACAAATTTCCCTAAAATCTTTTTTTTAAGAGCCAATTAATGTAGCTGAGGGTTCTAAACCAGTACTTCTCCTTTCTATTTTCTCTCTGGAAAGAGGAAGTGGCATTCCCAGTTTGCCTTCTTTGTGGATCTCCAAGATGTTAAATTTAGCTTCTGAAAGTGATATAGGGGTCTCCATGGGGGGCTGGATTCCCCATTTGACCTGGTCCAGCTAAGCCTCAAGGGTTCTCACTGTGGTATTGCAGTCAATGCTGTTCCAACTTGATTAGAAATTTCTGTATGGTGGTCTCAACCCCACACTCTGTCTTTGGACTGAGCTACTAAATATGCTTTTAACCGTCTGTAGCCTGCCTGCCATTACATTTTTTAAAGAGTATAACAATAATATCAATTTGACCTTCAGTAGCACAGAGGTCAAACATAGATTTTCCTAACTCAGAGCTAACTTCCTGAAGTTTAATGCCAGAAAAAAAAATTAACATTGGTTGAGCTAATCTATTACAAAGCTGAGTGTTAATGCCCCATGCGTAGCTCCCACCACTACAGAAAAGGGATTCATTTTGCACCGGGAAATCAGGAACAGGAGTGTCCCGTTTGTACCTTTGTGAGCGTGGAAAGGACGAGAAGATCCGACTGCGAGGGTCAGGAGCTTTCTGAAATGCCATATTCTCAAGAATGCTTTGACAAAGTCCCTGCCTCAGCTCCCCGGGGCACGTGCTTTTTAGTAAAAGCAAAGTGGAGGAAAATAATTACCTGTCCCTCCTGTCCCCAGCCAGGTCTCCCCAGGGCCCTTCCTTCTAAAGCAGCCAGGAAGGTGTGGAGCCCTTTCCCCTAAGGCCCACAGTCTCAGTAGGCATCTATTCCCATTTTAGTCAGGGAAGGGAGGATGCTGCCCAGGACTGTCGGGTCGCTCCTCCTCGGTTACTAGGGTTCCAGAGGCTATGTGGGGTTTGTGTGAAACTGCCGTGCCTTGCAGATAGGTGAGCTTTCAATCTCTCTTTAAAAGGGGCGGCGAAGAGGACCCGCAGGCCGCAAGGAGCAACAGCGATGGGTAGGCACATTCAAAACCAGAAAACTCTTCTAACAAACAAAGCAGACACTGAAGACCCTAGTGGGGGAAACCGAGGACCAGGCTCGGGAACAGAACAGAAAGAGTCTCAGGGCCATCAACCATTTCGGTGTGCATTTGCAAATGACATGGGGACAAGTAAAGTGCAAACGGCTTTTTTTTTTTCTCCCCGGCTCAAAGGATAACTAGACACAGCTGGGGGAGAGTTGGCCATCTCAGCCTGTGAGGAGGATGCTTTCCTTATGGCCTTTATTTCTCCATTTTGAATCATTAAATTCTGTCCACGTAGTGGTCAGTCTGACACTAAAGATTCCTCTTTGGGGAGGGGGAAAATTTATTTCCTCAATTAAAAATATACATTGCTGCCTAGTTTTTTTTTTATCGTGGGGAAAAATAAACATATGCTAATGCCGTGGCACTTCGAGACAGGCCATTGACCACTGTCTTGGCACTTCTGGCCTTATAAATTATTATTATTATTTTTTTAAATTTTAATGCAAGGCACTTTACGTCAACCGATGAACGAGAGCATTTGTGACGGCACCCCACTCATTACCATGGTTTATTATTTTGCTTTCTCATCTCCACAACCATCCCATGCCTGCACACACACGCGCACACGCATGCCAGGCACTCATCCAGCTCTGCTCCACTCACTCAGCATGCGGGATGGAGCGGCCCTCTCTCATGTCCATTCACAGAGCAGCTTCTAGTCCAGGACATGGAAAAGAAACGGCTTCTGAGGCCGGGCATGGGAGGGTCAAACAAAGGATATAGGGGTCGGGAACAAAGTGACTGACACATGTTTGTTCATCTGTTTCTTTTAGAATATATTACCCCTTCTAGATGATGGCTACAGTCCTCCATCTTCTTCGCTATGCCCTCTCCCAACTACCCCACTTTGCATGCTGGAATTGCCCGGTCTTAGGAAACTAATAAGAATACTATTCTGTTGTCTGGGGGGAGGGGGAGGGGTCCCTACCTATTACCCAACCTACTACCCAACCTTTAGATATAAGTGAAAAAAAGAAAGATGAAATGAAATCCTTAATTTGGCAACAGTGTAGTAGAAGAGCAATCAGAAAAGGCATCGATACGTTGATTATCTGCTGTACCAAAAGTTGGCATCTGAGAAATGAGGCAAGCCCCTACTGAGAGAGCCTACCTACCTACTACGTACTGTGTTGTGCTAAACCTTTCAACCCCACTAACACCTCTTCACCTGCACGATTTTTCCTCCTATGACTCTACTCTACAAGTAAAAAATCAGTATTAACAGTCCTGATAAATAAAATTCTCTGCATGTCTCAGCAATCCCTGTATCTTGCGTCTGTCTTCTGTCTACTCTTTTGTCTGTCTTTCCCCACAAGCACAAAGAGATAGGGTACAGAAATGGAAGGTGGGAACCACATAGCCCCCCCTACCACTTACAGAAGGGAGAGGGGAGCAGGACCTACTAAAAATGCTAACCCCCACTAATCTGCTTTACACTTCTCTGGGGGTTTGGGGATGCCATGTCCTGGGGAGGGGAAGGTGTGGGGGGGGGACAGCAGCAACCTACATATAGAGACCTCCACCCCCAACTTTCTAGCCAATCAGAACCCTGGAACTGGCACGTCTAGTTTAGAGACACCTAAGGGGTTTTTCCCTAAATTTCACAATCAAAGTTAAATTCATTAAGTGGCATTACAAAAGAGGGTAAGCGTGCCAGCCCCCGTTATGACGGTTCCATCTACATAGTAATCTCTTCAATGGAAAGGTTTTGTCTTAGTACTACACACCCGAATTAGACTGTAGATTTTCTATTTTAGCTGTTTCATGCTGGATACACTCCCACACCTATTCACATACGTAGATGAACACTGAACACGTTGTCAGGATATCTGTATTTTAAGACTGGAAGCTTTCCAATTATCATGCTACTGCTTAGAACACAGTATCAAACTGAATGAGGGATCTTCCCTGGGGAAATGCTTCCTTCCACCTGTAGGTTGATTGGAGTAGTTAATACCCAGATAACCTCATTATTTTCTGTGGTGGGGCCTTAAAACCAGAGATTTGGGGTTCTTGGTACTAATGGCTAGAAGCCCCCTTTTATTTAAAAGAAAAACAAAAACAACAAAAAACTCTCCCAGGGCAGAGTGGGGTGGCTCACTGAACCCTGAAGTGTGGTGTCGGAGACATCAAACACATGCTTTTAGTCTGGCGTCTACATAGCTGACACCTCACAGTCTCCACACCTGACTAGGAACTGCGTCGCCCTTCTCCCACCTAAGAAACCAGTCCCTCTAAGAGGCAGGAACCCCCAACGCCTTTAAGTACTGGGTGGTAAAGCTTGAAGAGTCTGAGGGCCCCAGGCAGCATTCAGGGTGTGTACAACCCCTGCCTTATCCTGAGTGTTCACCCCTCCCCCAAGCCTACATGCTCCCCTCCGCGCACACACACACAGACACCCTGGCCCTAGGACAGCCCCTCCAGCCTACAATGGCCATGGAGCCTTAGAGCTTCCTCTTGTGGCCCCCTCCTGTCCTCCTGGATGGCGGGTTTGCTTTAATTACAGATGTGGAGAGAGGCAGCTTGCCCTCCCCCTGTAAGGGTGGGGTTCTGATTCTCCCACCGTCATGGCCCTGTCAGAATCCTGGCCCCTTAGCCCTCAGCCCCTCCCTCCTGCTGATGAGAATACCCCTGACCTCTAAACCTTGCTGGCCCGTACCTACTGTCCAAGAACAGTATCTAGAAGCCACCTAAGAGATGGACCTCAATAAAAGTGTGTCGTGAGATCAGAACACAAAGCCCACTCCCCACATACACAAACCTCAGTGGAAAGAAGAAAACCTATTCAAATATCAGCTGTTATAAATCTTTGTGAAAGAATGGGTTCTTTGGCTGTGGGCATATCGGTGGGCCTACACATAACCCCTATATCTCTACCCTGTTGACAGGTATGCACACACGTTCCCTCCCTGTTGGTGGATTCAGTGACCCCCAGATCCCCACCCCTTTTATCAGGCATGCACATAATCCCCAAATCCTACCCTGTTGGTGGACATACACATAATCCCCAGGTCCCCACCCTTTAGGGGGCATGCGTGTGACCCCCAGATCCCTGCCCCTTTAGCTGGCAAGCACACGGCCCCCAGATCCCCACCCCTTTAGGGGGCACGCACATGGCCCCCAGATCCCCGCCCCTTTAGCGGGCACGCACACGGCCCCCAGATCCCCGCCCCTTTAGCGGGCAAGCACACGACTCCCAGATCCCCGCCCCTTTAGCGGGCAAGCACACGACTCCTGGATCCCCGCCCCTTTAGCGGGCAAGCACACGGCCCCAGATCCCCGCCTCTTTAGCGGGTACGCACACGGCCCCCAGATCCCCGCCTCTTTAGTGGGCATGCACACGGCCCCCAGATCCCCGCCTCTTTAGTGGGCATGCACACGGCCCCCAGATCCCCGCCTCTTTAGGGGGCACGCACACAATCCCCAGATCCCCGCCTCTTTAGGGGGCATGCACACGGCCCCCAGATCCCCGCCTCTTTAGGGGGCACGCACACAATCCCCAGATCCCCGCCTCTTTGGTGGGCATGCATGCAGCTCCAAGTTCCCACCCCTTTAGCGGGCAAGCATAGGGCCCCCAGATCCCACCCCATTGATGGACATGCAGTGACTCACAGATCCCCGCCCCTTTAGTGGGCATGCACGCAACCCCAAGTTCCCACCCCATGGATGGACATGCAGTGACTCCCAGATCCCCGCCCCTTTAGCTGGCATGTACATGGCCCCAAGTTCCCACCCCATTGATGGACACGCACACGACCCCCAGATCCCCGCCCCTTTAGCCGGCATGTACATGGCCCCAAGTTCCTATCCCATTGATGGACACGCACACGACCCCCAGATCCCCGCCCCTTTAGCGGGCAAGCACACGGCCCCAGATCCCCGCCCCTTTAGCCGGCATGTACATGGCCCCAAGTTCCTATCCCATTGATGGACATGCACATGGCCCCGAGATCTCCACCTGAGGCCCACCAGGAGGCCACCCCTCCTGGCTATAGTTGCCTCTGGTGTCCCCATCTTGTATCTCTGCTAAAGGGAAAGGGGATGGTTGGGCTATCTCCATCTTATGCCTTAGTCATCAATGCCGGCCAAAGAAGCTCTATCCTAACTTTGTCCCTACCACCTCCAGCCCTCTGCCTCGGTTTCCCCATCAGAAAGATAGAGCATGTTCCTCTCCGAGTCCTGCTCTGTGCCGTCAGGCCTCACACCCTGCAAATGCTGTGTGTGCTGGTCTCTAACCCCTACACATGGAGAGGACAAGATGAGATCTGCTTCACGTAAGGGGGACTTTGCTGGCCCCCCAAAGACAAGGTCATGATTCCCTCTGGCTGTGCCTGGCATAAAGGCTGTCTCCTAAAAGACACACAGCATTTTGAATCACTGTAACCTCCTTATTAGCGTTCCATCTGGGAGACACCGTCCACCCCCATAACCAGAGGTTGAGGCCTTCACCTGTAGGGTCAGTGACTGTGACTGCATGCAGATCATCTCAGACAGACCACATAGGTTATGCTGTGAGCTGGTTAAAATAAGCCACAGACCATTTAGCCAACTCCTCACCCAGTATACATGAGCCCCATGCCTACCAATAAGGAGGGGTCCAGTAAGGACTCCTAGTCACAACTGGGGGGCTGGTGTATATTAACACGGTTAACACGTAGTGCCGTGAGCCACAGTACCCCAAACACCATCACCCTGTCACAGGTGCACAGCTATTAAAATAACAGACCTACAAATAAGTATATGGGAACGGGAAGCCCTACCATCTACTAACACTTGTCACCCCTGGACCTCACAACATACTGAACCCTAAGTCCAACGTGCCCTAACCCAGCTCCACACCACGCCCAGTATGTTAACTAGCCAAGGAGGAGCCACTCAGGAAGCTTTTGGGTGTGGTTAGAGCAGAAGAACCAGGTGCAATTTCTGGTACAGTTGATCAAGACCTCGATGCCGCATAACTGATCTGCCTTTATTGGGCATGTCCTCAGGACTCGTTTGGGAAATTACAATTTACTGTTATTCAGATGCCCACAGATCTGAGCCCACAACCCTTGGAGAACAGAATATTATGCTTTTTAGTTGACATGTCTTGATAAAGGTGACGCCTCAATGGGCAGGATGCAATATGATTTTCTTTTTTCTTTTCAATTCCACTGTAGTGAGAAGGCCACCAAAGTGCAGGACATCAAAAACAACCTGAAGGAGGCCATTGAAGTACGTGCCTAGCCCCTCGCTCTTGTCCTTTAGCAAACCCCCTGCTCCCGTGGTGCTGCCCCCTGACCATTTTGCTAACCCATTTGCAGACCATCGTGGCCGCCATGAGCAACCTGGTGCCCCCTGTGGAGCTGGCCAACCCTGAGAATCAGTTCCGTGTGGACTACATTCTGAGCGTGATGAACGTGCCCAACTTCGACTTCCCACCTGTAAGCCCCGCTCCAACCCTGGTCTCCCCTCCCCACTGCGCCCCTGAGCCCTCCTTTTACCAGTCTTGACTATGGTGGGCTTAATCCCCCTCGGGTGTATCATCCCGAAGACACACAAACCACATGTTAACAGCACATGGCACCGAGTCCTAATTGTCCAGTCAATCCAGACAAGTGTCCTAAAACACCAAGGCCCTGAGTACAGATACGCACTTTCCAGTGTTCAGATCCAAACATAAATTACAAACGGAACGTTACCGGAAATAAGATTTTCCTTTCGGCCCTCTGCCTGGGAGCCTGACCCTCTTGACAAGGGTCTCTTAGCTTCCTCAAAGCTATTTTTAGAGGGTAGAGCTGCCCCACGTCAAGCATGTACATTTCAACCCTTGTGGGAAAAAAGAATTTTCAGGCCGGAAGGAGAGACTTGTCTACAGATTAGGTATTACCACTGCTTCTTGAACCTCTGCTGATATCTGTGCATTTTAAATGGCTTTTGGCTGCAAACTTATGACGGAAATTAGTATAGGCATATAACTTTAAAAAAAAGCTGTTGATTTAAAAAGAAATCAAGTGGGAAACACAGCATGGATAATATAAGCCTCTGGCTCCTGTGATGTGTGTCTCTCACGGAAGACAAAATGGCAGCCTACCCAGAATACAGCTGATGCCATTGACACCTGGTACTATGGTGTCTGGAGAGATCTCCTAGTGTTGACCTATGCTGTTCACACACGACTACATACTCTTCCTATACAAATAATTCTGGGGGGGGACAATGTTTACTCAATTGTTTATTTACCCTCCCACCCCCCCCCACAAAAGTAACAGAAGCAACCACCCAAGACTGAATGTTCCCCAAAGATGCAAACATGCTAATTAGTGGCACTGGTTTCTAGTGTGTCACATGACTGCAGGCCCTTCCCACACATTGATTCACGCAGGGCTCACGCTTGAACTCAATGGAGTGGACTATGGCCGCAGAGCTCCAGGGGCAGGGTTCCCGGGTGGTGCGCGTGCGCGCATCTTCCAAGCAACGGTCTTTCCTGGGTTCTCTTTCAGGAATTCTACGAGCACGCCAAGGCTCTGTGGGAGGACGAAGGGGTGCGCGCCTGCTACGAACGCTCCAATGAGTACCAGCTGATTGACTGTGCCCAGTAGTAAGTAGTCCCTGGCGCATGCACGCACGCACACGCACGCACATGCGCGTCAGACAGACCAGACACTAGCCTAGACGCAGGCAAGCCACAGACCCACCAGCACACGGAAAGTCCTTGGCCTTATAAAGATCTCAATGATACTTTGTAGCGCATTTGGTATTGTTTTACATAAACTCCTAATACCTGTTAGAGCAAGGCGATAATTACTCGTAATGAAGCGGTGTTGGTGGTGAGCTCCATGGTAACCCATGGAAATGGCCTCTACGCATTTAGGGGCATGCACAACACAGCAAGTGCATAGCGGTCCCATCGTAGAAGCACACAGAGGACGTTTTTATTTGCCAGGGCCTTGTAAGACACAAAGCACCTCTCCTTGGGGGCGGGGTGCCACAACCCTTTCCTGGGCCAACTCTTCCAAGGTATTTCCTTTGCTACCTCCAGGGTTGCTGCATACATAGGCATGCCATGGTTCCACACAAAGTTATATGTTCTTTCAAGGAACTGAAAAGCAGCCCCCTCGGGCCCCAGCGGCGGCCCCCACCCCCTCCTCCTTCAACAAAGTTCCTGATTTTTCTTAAAAGTTTGTACTAAAAAGCTGGAAGCACTAATTATAGAAACACAAAACAAATGGAAATCCTGGAATTGTTTGTGATTTGTATTCTGGACCCAATTCAGGAGTTAAGTACAGACACAAGCTGAGGAGTCTCTGCCACCCCATGGTGAATTGTGGGTGGGGGGGTCAGTTTCTTTAACAATGATTTAGCCAGGTGCTTTGGGGTGACACCCCTTTGAAGTTTGTCGTCGTCATTGCCGGAAGCAGTACAGTATTCTCCTGAAAACTGTACCGCATGCACCAACTGCACAAACTTTTAAAGAAAACTTGAAGAAAAAAAGTTGTGTGAGATGCCTCCCAGCCCCGTAGCGCACAGCGGCCTGCCCGTTCCTTGTCTAACTGCCTTTATGTTGGAAGGGGCAGGCACTGGGCCCAGGCCGTTTCTTAAGCTTGCCAGGGTTGTGTTTGTTGAGCTGCAGTTTGGTTGGCCCCACTCCAGATGTCTTCTCACAAGATTTGGTGCTAAGGATCTATTTATAGAATTGTGGTTCTGTTGCCATGGCAACATGCTGGAGGCCAGGGTGGCTGGGGAGCTATTTCTGGGCCTGTGCTGTAATGTAAGATTGATTGGGCCAGTTAGTGTACCCTTTAAGCCAGACTAACTCGGAACTGGTAAAAAGGAAGGGGAAGAAAAAAACAAAACAAAACAAAAAACTTGGGGATTTCTTTAAATAGACCCTGCTCCTTCAAAACTTTTCTCTTGATTACTTTAAAACAGTTCCCAACCCCCCCCAAAAAAACCCTCCAAAGTTAACATTGACATTACTTTCCCACATTACTTTATCCCAACATTTCAAAAGACAAAAGTTAGTTTCCCTGTGTCAAGCAGCACCCTCCAGATTGTGGGATTTTTGTTTGTTTGTTTGTTTTATTTAAACTTAAAGTTTGATATCTGGAATGTTCTGCCTCACAGACCCAGTTTGCCTCCTTTTCCAGGGTATCGAGGGCAAGAAAGGCCTCTTTGTGCCCGCAGCTTTCCCTGGCTGGGTGCTCACTAATCAGTGAGATTCTTCCAAAGTAGGCAGGGAGGGGTGGTTCTGAGTGACCAAAGCAATCCCAGCCGAGGCCGGGACGCCCTCAAGCCTTGCTTTTAGGAAAGGGCTGAGATTTAAAAATTCCCTTTCACATACATTAAAGTCAAGGGCCTCCGGCCACTGCTTGCTGTGTGTTGTTTCTGTGTTTGCCTGGGGTGGGGAGGGGGTCCATACTTGGCACATCTGCTGACCACCATGTCCCCTTCTCTTCCAAGCTTCCTGGACAAGATTGACGTGATCAAGCAGGCTGACTATGTGCCAAGCGACCAGGTATATGTGTGCCCCTGCCCTCGGGGCTGGGTCTCTGTGTTGCGCTGACCTTTCTCGGGCAGTTAGGGCAAGACTCACCGGCCCCCTCTTTGTTCTAGGACCTGCTTCGCTGCCGCGTCCTGACCTCTGGGATCTTCGAGACCAAGTTCCAGGTGGACAAAGTCAACTTCCAGTAAGTGTGAATGGCGGTCGAGTCCTAACTCTGGCGCCTGCAGGAGAGCCGTGGCCCCAGGGTAACCCCCAGTGTCCTCCCTCTCCAGCATGTTCGATGTGGGCGGCCAGCGCGATGAACGCCGCAAGTGGATCCAGTGCTTCAATGACGTGACTGCCATCATCTTCGTGGTGGCCAGCAGCAGCTACAACATGGTCATTCGGGAGGACAACCAGACCAACCGCCTGCAGGAGGCTCTGAACCTCTTCAAGAGCATCTGGAACAACAGGTGTGTGGGGTCTCCCACCCGGGCCCTGCAGGCCTGCTGCTGCGAGCTCAGCTGACCCGGCTCTGACCCCTGCGCTCTCTCTCTCTCCTTAGATGGCTGCGCACCATCTCTGTGATCCTGTTCCTCAACAAGCAGGACCTGCTTGCTGAGAAAGTCCTCGCTGGGAAATCGAAGATTGAGGACTACTTTCCAGAGTTCGCTCGCTACACCACTCCTGAGGATGGTATGTCCCCCCCGCACGACACGCGTGTTGGGTCGGGTGGCTGGTCAGGGTGGTTCTTGGGCAAAAAAGGGTGTGGCGATTAATAATTTTATTTTATTGTATTTTTTTTTTGCAGCGACTCCCGAGCCCGGAGAGGACCCACGCGTGACCCGGGCCAAGTACTTCATTCGAGATGAGTTTCTGGTAAGTAGGGCCCCTGTCTGTAGTTCCTCACCTCTCGGGGCTATTCTGCAGCCAGGGCTGCGTTTGGAGCCATGTCAGGGACTGGTCCTCGGAGGCAGTGGGTGGGGCACGGGGCTTCGGGTGGGCGAGGCAGCTGACTGACTGAGCCTGTCCCTCCCACCCGCAGAGAATCAGCACTGCTAGCGGAGACGGGCGCCACTACTGCTACCCTCACTTCACCTGTGCCGTGGACACTGAGAACATCCGCCGCGTCTTCAACGACTGCCGTGACATCATCCAGCGCATGCACCTCCGCCAATACGAGCTGCTCTAAGAAGGGAACACCCAAATTTAATTCAGCCTTAAGCACAATCAATTAAGAGTGAAACGTGATTGAAAAGCGGTTGATCACCCACCATAGGGCATGATCAACAATGCAACCTTTCCTTCTTCTCCCCAGTGATTCTGAAAACCCCCTCTTCCCCTTCAGCTTGCTTTGATGTTTCCAAATTTAGTAAGCTTAAGGCGGCCTACAAAAGAAAAAAAAAGAATAAGAAATAGGCCACAAAAGTTCCCTCTCACTTTCAGTAAGTAAAATAAAAGCAGCAACAAACAGAAATAAATGAAATTCAAAATGAATATTGTGTTGTGCAGCATTAAAAAATCAAAATAAAAATTAAAATGTGAGCAAAAGCGTGAGTTCGCTGACTGATTTGCGTCGAGTGGGTCCCGGTGTCCATGGGTGGGACTTGGTCTATGCACCAACTGGGTCTCCATGGTGAAGGACAGGTTCCCAGGGCTGTAAGTGGAGCGACGTTGCCACTGTATATTGGGAGGTGGGGGACCTAATCTCTGGCACACCAAAGCCTTTCCCGCTTACCTTTCCCCAGGGATGCTAGCGTTGACCATTGCTTCCCCATCTGAGGCTAACAGCCTACTCTTTTGGGAATGGGGTAGGGTGGGGGGTTGGGTCTACGGGTGGGGTTTCCTGTGGGTGGGGGAGATGGGAGTTATTTGGGAAACATTTGAAAGCATTCTCACTTCGCTTCACGCCAAGATGGATTAAGTGCAGATTAATTACACACATCTAGGTTAAAAATTTAGTTCTTGCCACAAAGGAGGTGGGAGGGGATATATATATATACATATAAGAAAGTGAAAGAAATCACATAAAAATATCCTGGGTGTGGGACTGGGTAAAATCAACAGGATTGACTAATAAGTAAAGAGTTCTGAAGAATCAATAAGCAAAACTATGGGAAAAGTACATGAATATGCAATTGCTAAAGAAGATAAAAGCAACGTATACTATAAGGTGTCATCACTCAAGAAGCTTTCATGATGGGGGGGAGGTGGAGGAGGTCTGGGGGGGCAATATCAAGCCTAGTTGGGTGATGACTTGGGACTAAGATCCCCTCGTCTTTCTCTTCAGGCTCATTCCCCAAGACTGTACCTCCTGTACAGGAAAGAGCCCGGTGTTGACCCCAGCATCAGCATGGTCACATCTCTGAAATGGACCAAATGACACATGAGTCAAGTTAGTTTTGTAAGCAAGACCCCCCCCAAATGCACCAACTGTTCTGTTATCGAAATTAATCACCTCAAGTATGGTTGCCAAGCATGCCCATAAAAGCAGCTCTTACCATTTTTATCTCTGTAGATCTTCCCAAAGCCAGATCCCATTGCCTAGAGCTTGTGATCAGATTATGCAGATTTGGGTGCAAAATAAACCCAGAATTCTCCAAATAACCCTATAATCCAAGTGACGGTAGAGGCTTGCTATGTAAATATCCAGGCAAGCCCATAAATTCCCATGATCCCTCAAAATGACCCAATAAATGTATAATCCAAGATGGAGGCTTGCTGTATACCTCAAGAACTCCTATAATCTTCCAACCCCTCCAATAGACAAATAAACATTCCATCCAATAGCCTGCTATGCAAATAGTCTGCGCAACCCACAAATTCCCACAATCCCTCAAAATGTATACATATATAAACATAATCCAAGATGGAGTCTTGATATGCAAATAGCCAGAAGACATGCTCACAAATTCCCATAGTTCTTCAAAACTATCCAATAAGTGCAAATCCAAGATGGAAGCTTCTTAAGCAAATAGCCAGAAGATACTCCTATAAATCCCATCATCTTCCATTTACCTCCCCAATAAACATACAATAGAAATAAAGATAGGGTTTGCTGTTCAAATAGCCAAAGGAGAGGCCCACCAGTTCCCACAACCCCTCAAAGCTACCCAATAAACATACAATTTAAGATACAGACTTAATATGCAAATAGTTAGAAGACACGCCCACAAATTTCCCCGGACCCTCAAGGCTTTCCAATAAGCCTGCCACCCAAGATGGAGGCTTGCTATGCAAACAGATAGAAGACACAATCACAATTTCCCACAATCCTTCAAAACTAGCCAATAATGTACAATCAAGATGGAGACTTGCTATGCAACTAGCCAGAAGACATCCCACAAATTCCATTATCCCCCAATGACCCCCCAATAAACATACAATAGAAATAAAATGCATGCTTGCTGTTCAAATAGCCAAAAGAGAGGCCCACCAATTCCCACAATCCCTCAACACTACCCAACAAACGTGCAAACTGAGATGAAGGTTTAATATGCAAGTAGTTAGAAGACACACCCACAAAGTCCCACAATCCCTCAAAACTATCCCATAAATTCACAATCTAAGATGGAGGCCTGGTATGCAAATAGCCAGATCGGTCCTACAGATTTCCATAATCCTACAAAACTAGACAATAAATATATAATCAAAGATGGACACTTCCTATACAAATACCCTGGAGACCTCCCAGATCCCATAGACCCAAAAACTTGCCACTGGCCCCCTAAATCAGCATAATATTCAACCCAATGACTTGCTATGTAGATAGCTGAATATACCCATAAGTTCTTATGATCCTCCACTGACACACCCCATTAGCATAATAAAAATTCAATCCAATGATTTGTCGTGCAAATAGACAGAAGGCAAGCCCACAAATTCCCACAATCCCTCAAAACTATCCAATAAATATACAATCTAAGACGGAGGCTTATTGTGCAAATAATTGCCAGAAGTTCCCCCACCCCCGCAAATTCCCATAATCCTCCAAAGACTCTCAATTAACATAATAAACATTCAATACAAAGGCTTACCATGCAAACAGCCAGACAGTCCATAATTCCCACAACCCCTCAAATAAACTCAGAAGTAAAACTCATTCTCTCGTATTCACTTGAAAACACACAGACCACACAGACACCTGATGGGAAAGTAAAGGTTGAACCCTCAGACCCTGTCCCAAGGCGGCTTCCTCTAGTCCCCTCTACCACAGAAGTTCTAGAACCTTGCCTGGATAATACACACAAGATGGCCAACTATGCTTCAGAATGGAAATGCACATTCCCAGGCCATGGCACAGTTATGTCAAATGGTTCCCTAGAGTCCCACCTTGCTGGTCAAAGCTGGGAGAGACAGTATGATATTTTTCTAGAAGGATCGGCACGATGCCACCTCCTACGTGTCAGCACTGCCCAGTCAGTGATTATTTGGCTGTGGCTGCCATTTTATCAGAGAGGCCCCAGGGAAGCTAGCCTTCCACTGGGGGAGAAAAGTCCTGCTGCTTGACCACCGCCCTACACTGCTGTCTTCAGAAGATCCGGGAAGATGGAACAGGTCTCCTACCGTTCTGCCACAATGCCGGTGGTGAGGAATCCAGACCATGTGACTCCAAGAAAGAGCTAGCCACCCGGCTCTGGTTGTTATCATTGTTGTTATTAACTATTAATGAATGCGGCCCTCACGCTTCAAGTGTGTTGCGGTGGACCCAGGCACTGCCTAGGGTCTTGTCTGGGCTCGTCTAACTGTGAACAAGTCTGCGTCTCTCTAAGCCTGAACCCCAAAGTCACTCTATCAGCACAAGCAGGGCGGAGGCCACAGCTGTTTGTCTCTCACAGCCGAACAAGCAGGCCAGTTAATGCCCTTTCTGTCTTTCTTAGCTGCCAATCCATTTACTCCCTTCCATGTGGGACACGGAGACAGAGACGGCCAGATGAGCTGGCTGGCTGGGCACCACAATCACACATGCGTTCGCCATGTCCCGAAGCCTGCCCTTGATGAAGAGTCTAGTGCCTGCAGGTGAGAGCAAAGCCTTCAACTTTTCAGTCCTCGGAGGCTAATTTGCGTGATTTAATACAAACAGTTTAGAAGCAAAGACGAAATAATTGTCCAGGAGAGAGAGAGAGAGAGAGAGAGAGACACAGAGAGAGAGACAGAGAGAGAGAGACACAGAGAGAGAGACAGAGAGAGAGAGAATTGACGAACCAGTTTGGTCTCCCAAATTGACCTCCACACAGACAATGTGGAGGAAAAGTCATGTTCAGAGAGCTTCAAGACAGACAGGCTCCTGGTTAGGACTGGGGTTGGAACACAAAGGAATGTTCTGGGTTTTACTCCTATAAATACTAAGAGCAAAGATACTCTGCTGAGAAAACTTACCGAGCTGTGTGTATTACCTTTCAAAGTTTTTTTAAATATTATTATTATTAAAGCAGAATGTGGCACCACACATTTATAATCCCAGCACTCAGGAAGCTGAGGCAGGAGGATTGTGAATCCCAGGCCATCCTGGAATATCAGAATGAATAGAGAGTTTCAGATTAGCCTGACCCATGAGATCTGATTTTAAAAAGAAAAAGAAAAAAAGAAAGAAAGAAAAAAGTTTTAGAAAAAGGCACCAGGCCCATATGGTTTTACAGGAGAATTGTGCTAAACCTTGAAAGAACGTATAATCACTTAAATTATACCAGAGTCTGATAACAGAAAACTTCAAGTTCAGTTTTATATAGTAAATATAACCTTGTCTCTGAAGCACAGTGTCCCCTAAATAAACTTACAGATTAATCTCATTTATGAATATCAATGTAAATATGTAAAACATCATCAAACAGAATCCAAAATAGTATTAAAAATAAAACATATTTTCAAGTGTTATAGGAATTCAAGTTTGGCTTGATATTAGTAGATGCAGCAATATTTGTCAAATTTTAATGCTAATTTATATTTTATAAACCCAATAAAGATTAATTTTTTCCTAACACAGAATGACTACCATATTATTGTATATGTAATATCCATAGATACAATATAGGTATGCAATACATAATGTAAGTATATGAAATAGCCTGAAACCAGAATGTTAGGGATTTCCACTGGCGTCAGGAACAGGGAACAAGGGAGGTGTGTCTCACACCCTGTGCTATTGATGTTATTACAGTGAGCATATGATTTATGTTGGACAGATAAGCAAAACAAAGCAAGGAGAGGCTTGAGAACCCAGGGGAAAGAACTCAGGCTATCTTTTTTTTCAGATTATTTAATTAAACGTTAAGTCCCCTCTCCCAAATATACCATAGAAAATAATTATTAAAATGAGAGGGTTAGGGCCAGAGAGAGAGCTCATTGGTTAAGAGCCCTTGCTGCTTTTGAAGAGGACTGGAGGACCAGAGTTTAGTTTCCAACACACGAAGTGGCTCACCACTGCCTGTAACTCCAGATGCCACGCCCTCTTCTGGCCTTCTTGGGCACTGCACTCCCCTGCACAT